AGACTTTCTTTCTCCCCCTTCCCAAAAGTGCTGCTGCCTCCTCCCTGGGGCCTTATACCCCAATGAGCCACTTGAGGATGGAGGCCGTGGTACTCCGAATCCCAAATGAGTATAAAACAGCAACCGAGAGTTGTGTCTTCTCTCTCCTCACACCTCAGCCTATCTGTGCTGAGCCCTGACAGCTGAAAGCCCCAGTTTCACCTTCAGCTTCCTCTGCAAAAATGAAGTTTTTTTCTACCTATGGGGACTTTTTACCATTTTGAATTTCCCCTGAGCCTGAGCAAAGGTGCATGCCCCAAAGGTTGCAGAAAAAGATTTTTTTTTTGCAATTTCTTAGTTGGTCGAATAAAAGGTGCCATCTCTGAACCAAGAGCGCTAGAGTTTTGCATTTTGTCGTTGTCATAGTGGCTGTCACCCTAGCATCTAAGCATTGTGGTGTGGGAAGTCAGACACTGGAATCGCAGGGCCTGTGTCCCAGGCAGATTTGTCTCTGTTCCTGAGTTGTTCTGGTCTCCAAATGAGTCATCCCACCCATATAACCAAGACCCCCTGTCCCACCTTGCATGCCTGACTGCATGCCAGAGCATGTCTTGCATTGTAGTAGCTGAAGAAAGGCCAGATTTGGTGCCTCTGTAGACCTTGAACTGAAAATAAAAACCCCAATGCAAGGCAGTGCACAGTATGCCAGAAATGGAAAGGGCTGCTTACCTCTCGGGGCCATCAAATGAATTTTGGGCTCCTGCTCCCAGCAGCTTGAGCCAGTGCAGAGTCTTGAAGTGGAAAGATTCCTCCAGACGCCCCAACTCCCCTCTCAGGACTGGAGCCTGCCTGGGATGGCGAGTCTGAGTTTCTAATGTACAAATCCCTGCTTGTGAGTGATGGCATGGTAGGAATGTCAGCTGTATGGGAATAAATTAAAGCAATTTATTCTCCAGGCTCTTTGAAAGCCTCCAGAGCAACTCTGCTTGCCGGAACAAACCAGGTCCACTGATGTGGGCTGCTCAGATGGTCACAGCCAAAATGTTGTTGCTTATAATTTATAGAGTTAAGGACTTTCATAATGCTGAAAACATGCCAGCTCAGGTTAACCAGGAAGATGACACCCCGAGTCTAAATGCAACAAGGCAAAGATTCGTTTGAAGAAGAACACTTTTATCTGGAATGTCGAGCATTTCTTTGCTGGTATTTAGTTGGGATTTAAAGAAAATGTGAGGTACTCCTCCCTCTCCTCCCGCTGAAGAATGTAAGAGAGAGTCTGGATTTATTGGTGGCAGTGGTACACTTTTACTGAGCTCAGCTTTTTCATGTCAGTCCCCATAATATTGCTCTTGCTAGAATGACTGTGTGCAGCTGTAATGCTCTGACACCCAAGGCATAAAGAATATCTACCTTCCTTTTCCTGTATTAATTAAGCAGGTTGCTTGAAGCTTCCCGTTGATTTGTAGCTGGAGCAGTTGCAGTTTTGAAGTATAGGAATGATAATTATGCTCCAAAATGCCATTGCTCTGTGCTGGTGGAGAACATAGATACATGAAGGGGAAGGAGGAGTTAGGCACGGCCAGAAAGAGCACCTTGGCTAATGCACGTGCCCATTGTGGCCCAAATGACGTGTTCCCTCCAAACGGCACGTTCCCAGAATCGGAGGGCCAAAGGAACCATTCAGGGAGCTGGTCCGACCTCCTGCATCTTTCTCCCATGGTGAATGCAGCAGGACTCCACCAGAAACCAGTGTTAAAGTGCTTGACACTGGTTTCCGTAAGACTCTTCCCACAGCAGCTGCCAGGCTGGCCATGCACCCCCTGCCCGGCTACACCGCCTTTCCCACTGGTCTGTGGGAAGAGGTTTGATATGATTGATGGATCTGTCCAGCCATAGGTTCACCACAAGCAGAGGGTAAGAGGAAGATCTCCTGTCCCTTGTTACATTGCAGTTCCTCAGCCCTGGTACAGCTCCGTCCAGCTCTGTGGAGGGTGAAGACCCTGTAGTCAACCACCGGTCTGTTGCTTTGGCTCAGGTCAAAGAGCGTGGGGTGAGTCGGGCATTCCCTCCCTCTGTTGTACTCCAGAGAGAGATAGTGATGGAGAGGGTGAGGCATCCCTCACAAGGGAGGCAGGGAACAAGTGATGTGGTGTGACTTGTACCAACAGGCATGCAGTAGTTGTGCACAAGGAGCTTCTAGGCCTGGTCCATTCTCTCTGGAGACATGTGCTTGCTTGCATTAGGGAGGACTTTGGACCTGGCAGTGTGGAGGACGGGTTGATCTCAAGTCAGATGTGCATATCTTTAAACTTTTCACTGCATTGCCAGCCAGCTAAACAAACCCTTCTCTGTACCCTTCTCCCTGCACATTTCACTTGGGTCGTACGCTCCTAAATTTCAGTGCAACTTCAAATTTCCATTTCACGTAACACAGGTGAAATGTTATAATCTTTGCATTCTCCTATGCCTGAGGAAGGACGTGTGACCCCAAAAGCTTGCAGATAAAGATTTTTTTTTTTTTTTTTTTTGCAATTGCCTAGTTGGTCTAATAAAAGGTATTGCCTCTAGCACTGACTGCTTGCATTTCACGTAGCACTGCTTTCCCACTCTTCAGCTTTTAACCAATGTATAGCACATCTTCAACATGCACCACTGCTTCTTGCCATGGATTCTGACCCGTGAGTGTCCAGAGGACCTGCACCTGCTTCCTTCAGGATGCGTTTGACTGAATTTGGCCTCATAAATTCCCTGTTGTGCTTGAAGAACTCAGAGGAATGTGTGTCTGACTGCAAGAGCCTTATTCTTCCCTGCCAGGCGACATGTAATTCTAACTGAAGTTAATTGGATTTACTCCTACCCTGTGGCTGAAGAGTCTGGCCCAAGGAATTTCAACTATTACTCACCTCTTGGTATCATAATTATATCGTGAACTCTTGACATGATCTTGAATGCAGGGATGGCCAGAAAAGACAGACTATTCCAACCATCTTAAACCTTTCTTAAAGTGGGAAAGCAGCTGGACCCCTGGCTACAAATGTTGAGGCCCTCCTCTCTAGCTGCGTTGTCAGGGCCTTCTGAAATGACACTTCAACTGACATCAGTTTGAACTCTTGGGCAGATGATCCAGCGACTTGCTTCTAAGTGGTTTTTCTGGCAAAGTGGAATAAAAGGCTTTAGTATAAAAACGAAGGGTATCTGTCCTATGGAGGACCTGGGTATTTCACCTGTAACTTGGTACTGCTCAGGGAGGGATGGGCAGGGGAGACAGGAGCTCAAACTAGGCAGTGTTGCCCCAAAGAGCATGCTTTGCTGCCTCTCTCTTTCCAGTGGTCTGAGGGGGGTCGTGACTGACTAACCGTTGAAAGAAAGGAAGCCAGCCAAATGAAAGCCATGAAAAGAGCACAGCTCTATGCATCCACAGACCTGGCACCCATCTTCCATTGGTTTTGCTCATTATTAATAAGACAGAGAAAAGAAGATGGAGGCGTTTTAGGTAGTTGATAGCAGAGTTGAGCAAAGAAGCCACAACTCCTGAGTCTGAGTCCCTGACTGTAACCCTTAGTCTACCCAGCCTCCTGATGGCACACCTGCCTGTGATTGGGTGCACTGGGGGGGGACCCCAGAGCTTTCCACCCCGGGAGCCACTCTAAGGAAAGGTACATGGACTCAGCCAACAGATGTGGGGTTGGTGAACTTCAGTTAAAGCTGTGCCAAGAATCGCCTTCCTGGGTGACCACTGCCCTCCTTTAGAAACATCTTCTTGACATGAGAGCAACTCCATTGACTTGGGTGCCCACTTTCACCTGGACTGATTTTGGCCCTGCACAGTCCAGTCTCACTGGTATTAGAGGCTTGTTGTACTGGTTTGTGGGTAGGAACAGACAGGCTTCACTGAACCTCCCAGTCTTTGAGGAAGGCCCTTCAAAGATCAGTAGCTTCTCAGCCAGCGTCTTACCTTGGTTCTACTAGGGTAAGTCCAGAGTGTCTCTTGGGGACAGCACAATGGGCCAAATGCTCCTCTCAATGACTTCAATAGGGTGACACCAGTGTAATGGAGGAGAACATGACCCTGAACACTCATGAATGGCACAAGGAAAGTACACTACTAACGAAAACCAAAAAGGAATCGGTAGCTAACCCTACGTATCACCTTCTCAGACCAATTTGGTGGTGGCTCCTCCTCATGTAACCCGGATGGCACTCTTTGCCCTGCAGCTTGATGTTGTGCCTTATTAGCCACAAATTCATTTTCCATCCAAGTGTTGCAACCACTTCATCACACGAGGCCTCGGGGCCTGAACTACTTGAACGCTTTTACAGCCATGTTTCCTGGCAGCAAAATGAGTCTGCTGCCATTTCATATGCTCTGGGGCTGCTTGGAAGTGTGTCATGTTGATCTGCTTCCTGTTGGCATTTAAAAGAATGCCACTCTGAGATGTGCAGAATTACCTATTGCTAATCTGAGGAAGTGTTGAGCATGCCTGGAGAGCTGCGAGTCCTGGGCAACCTGCTTGTTCTGCTATCTATATAGGAACTGTGGACCGAGATCCTCTCCAGTCTCCATAAATTAAATCTCCAGCAGATAAACTTTGCTAAATATGTCAAAGCAAAATGCCAGGTTTCTTCCTACCTCTGAAGTTTGGGTACCTCCTTCCCTCTTGCAGAGGAATTTTTGTTTGACTGCTTTTGATGTGCAGACTTTGGACACTATGGGGTCAAAGTTGCAGCTGAACTTGTCAGGATGTGTCTGAATATGCTTACCCGGTTTTGCTTATGATTAGCTAGGATCAAAAATCCTCTTGCTACTACTGAACTTACCATCTGGCCTCAGCGGTAATTGCCTTTCTGTTCTGGGAAGCCTGGTTGCTCATTCAGAGGGTTAAATTCTGCCTGGTCTGCATGTTATCACTTCAGCTGTTGGCGCTATATGACTTTGTGCTGCTTTGCTGAAACTGAGCTAAGTCAGTCTGGCCTTAATAATTGAGATAGATCAGTGACTGTTTTTATGGCTTTTCCTCTGCTGCTTATTGCTGCTGGAGTCTAGTGCCACTTCTAGCCAAAGATCTTGGGGCACTTTGCAAACATGAATGAATACAGCCTGGGAAATGCTTTCTAGTATCCCCGTTCCTTGAAGGGGAAACCAGGGCCCACAAGGACTAAAGACAGGATGGTTCAGAGCTTCTGTGCAAAGACCTTTCCCTCCCTTATTGCTTTGAACCCTTCCTGCAAGGTTCCTGTGCTGAGGGTGGTGAAATGAGGACTCCCTCTACCATTGTTTGGAGTGCACGTGCTTGGGAGATGTGGGACTTTGAACAACGGTTGGAAGCAGGCTAGCAGTGATGAGACGTTTCCACCCTCTGAAAACCTTGGTCCTGACTGGCAGAACCCCCCTGTGCTTGGCCATCTTCCTCCCTTGCTTGCCCCTGGGGACGAGAGGCCCAGGTGGGAATAGCCCTCATCTCCCTCCACTCAGGAATCAATACCTGGAGGGGGCAGAAAGAGCCATGGAGGATTTGGGAGGTCTGGGAGAGCTGACAACACTATCAAACACATGCATATGATGGGTGTGGACAGGGGGAAAACGAAATGCAAGAGACAGACTAAAATCGCAACATGTTTTTTTTAAAAAAGAAAAAGTTTCCTCCTGTTAGGATGTGTCTGGGGATCTCAATTTAATTTCCCAGAGCACTGGAGCTTGGAGATGGAGTAGGACCCCCAGTCACTTTGAAGCCAGCTCTCATTGCTGTCATGTCACCTGGCAGAAGGGAGACTCCGGTACCGGTGCACAGAGGCGGTGATGAAGAATATGCAGTACGGCACCTGGGTTTTGGAGGCTCCATGCGATGTGCTGTCCTGTACTGCAAATGGCCTTTCCAGGCATCCCTTCACATTGGCTGTTAATGAGCTGCACACAAGTTCTGCCTCAGAACGAGGCTGATGCAGGATTTTGGAGGCACGCAGGCCTTGCATTGGCATCTTGTTCGCGGTGAGCATTACCTCTAGGAAAGAAAGGGATAAACGGTCCACAAAAACATTAGTACCAAAGCAGCCAGCTTTTGGGAGCAGAATCCACCACAGTCCCCGAGGCTTTAGCAGTGGCCACTAGCAACTCTGAAAGCCACAGCAGCTAGTCAGTTTTGTGGCCGCAGCAATCACATAGCTGGCAAATGCCAGTCCTGGTCAGGACACTGCCTGGCACTGCTTCAGGACCTTATTTTCCAAGTTTGGGATGATAATCCTGGTTCAGGGAGCCTTTGGAGACAGTGGGATACAGCCCCCAAATTTAGGAGTGCTGGAAAATGGAGGGTGATGACCGAGCAGTCCCTGTTGGTTTGGTTGAGTGCTTGCTTCCTTCATTTGCTGTCTCCAGTCCAGGTGGGACGTTGTCTCAGCTGACTGTTTTTCTTTTCAGCAAGCTTATTCGCCTGTAGATGCCCCCTCAAAATGAATTTGAGGCTTTTCAATCAGCCACTGTCATGTTTCAGATACCCCTCTGTGGCAGATCCCGTGTCTCTGGAAGTTGAGTACCTTCACGTGAAGCTTCCCTACAGTGCCAATGGCTCTCACGCCCCATTTGATTTTGCAGCTTGGGAGCAAGCCTGGTAGGATGTAGCATGTGCCTGTAGTTTGATCCTGTCTCATGTAAGGCAACCAGCAGGCTGCCCTAGTAATCAAAGGCTGCCTCAAATGGGATGGTGAGAGCATAGCTTTCTGTTGTGACAGTAATGTCCCTCTCATCCAGTGCCAGCACACTCTGACCTTCTGGGGAAAAAACCTCAGCCCTGGAGCTGCTTTTGTAGAAGTGAACAAAGGAACAGGCTAGTTCTGCCTGCAGGTGGGTCCCCTTTTAGATAGTAGAGACTATCAGTCTGGTCGTGGGTTTTTTTGAGTGTTCATTCCAATACCAAGTACCTGGAATGACTCTTAAAGGCTGGGCCAGTGATTCGCTGAACAGCCTGTGCTCCCATTGCAATCTATAAACCTGGTAGGATTAGGTCCTCTTGCACTGCTGGGCTTAGTACTGACAGTCAAAAAGCCTGAGGTTTAATCCATTCAGTCTTCTCAGGTTAGTCTAAGATGCAGAGATTGAACCAATAAGCAAGCGAACAGGCGTTCACTTTTGATTCTGGAAATGCAGCCGCATGCCTGCAGCGGCTCAGGTCAGAAGTGGGGGGGCGCTAGAGTACATCTCCCTGCTTGGCTGGGGCAGACAGCTTGGGACAAGCCTAGCCTGCCCACCCTGCAAAGTGGGGTCTGAGGGGGATGTGCAAAGCATCCTGGGATGCTGGGGGACTGTGAATTAATTTGAATCTGGAGGGGATCTGGGACAGACATTCAATGAAGTGATTTAACCTAAATCAGTTAAGTCTGATGCTACATCCATCCAGGTTTATCTTAAACTGATTTCAGACATTTTGAAAGTGGTTTATGTGCCCTGAACTTCTGTTGTGTTACAGATTTGATCTGGTTTCCAATCACTTATACCGGTTTACGTGCAACTTCTGTCCCTAGCTCTGATGGCTGTATATTTTTCAGATACACAAATCCTGTCTTGTTGCAGTTTCCAGCTCTGACTGTTGTATGATGTGCCCTCGAGTCCCCTCTTACTTTCCTGAGCCTAGAAACAATTAGGGCAGTAGAGGACTTCTCCTGGCCACCATGCCTCAATCTGTGCAAGCAAACAAGCTAAAAGGTAAGTTTCAATACAGGACTAAATGTGTTAAAAACAAAATCCTACCCGGCTTTTATGTGTAACGCACAGATCTGCGATGATCCTGCACAGATGGAGAACATACGTCCATTAGCCAAATGAAAAAGCACAGCTTTTCCTTGCTAAACCCTCTCATGCCATGAATATATGCTAGGATCAAATTCAGCTCTGGTGTAACTCTGACTTTGGCCAACGAGGTGTACTGGAATAGCGTGCGATCACCGTATTATTCTTTAGCCAAATAAATGTCACTTCCAGAAAGTTCAAAGGCATGGAATTAATCCCATCTCAAAGACGTTCCCGAAGAGAAATGTTTCTACCTGACCTTCACCTAGGCCAGCTGCTTGCCTGTCTTATAAAAGATCAAGTTCATCAAGGTGTCTTGTTCCCTTTCACATCAGCGGCAGTAGTTCTTCCACTGGGCTTTTCGCTCAGCCCTCACGAGCAAGGAGTCAGCCTGTGAAAGACAGCAAGCCTCCTAAAAGCTGGAGAGATTCTTCCTTCAATGCATTACTGCATGTGCTCTAGCCGATGCCTGCCTTAAGTCGGATCAGATGCATGCAGCCTTGTACCGGCCATGGTTTCTGTTTTTAGCCCTCCCAGAAACTCTCTCGGCGTGTTCAGAATACCAGCGGAACAGCTGCACCTTCTATCCTGATGGGCATGAAAGCACCTCTGGTTCCCGGGATCACCGATTTCAACACCCATTAGCAAGGACAGCTAAAAACAACATTGCTGTGTGCTGCCAAAAATATCCCCCTCCCCGCATTCTCTCTCTCGGCCTGGTTATCAGAGACTCTTAGACCAAGCAAGAAAGAGAAGAGATCTGGTGTAAAAGCCCTTTTTTATATGGGTAGGGTTGCTCTGGAGGGAGGCTGGATTTCGGTATAAAGCGCTCCTTTAACCATCAGGGAAAATGACTGTTTTCCAAGTGCCTGATCATCTTGGGTGATGAAACTGTGTTGTCACAGGATAGCTGGGGAGTTAGGCCAGACCTCACCTGTGACAGGTCAGCTACCACCCAGCTGAGACGGACCAGGTGATTATAAAAGCTGGCAAGCGGACTCCCTCGGTGAGAGGGAGGTTGGGAAGCGTGGAAGAGTTTGGTGGAGGGTTTATGTGATAAGATTATAAGGAGATGGGGGGCCTCTGGGCAAGTAGCTGATGATGTGGGCATCTGTAGGCAGTTGAAATGCTCTGGTAGAAGATGCTGAGTTATGGGGGGAAGTCTGGGTTTATATGTGGATAATATTCAAGCATATTCTTATGCTTGAATAATAGGCCCCTGTGGAAATGGGCTTCTGGGCTTGGTACCAGTGTTTTCTGGGCTGTGGAGACAGCCCCCACATGTGCATCCTGACTCAAGAAACCTTCACCTCTGCCTCCGCGAGGTCGGTATGTCTGCACGCCTCTTGTCTTCTGGTTCTGGAAATGGAGCGTCTCTTCTGTGCTGCGTGTGGTGAGTGTTGCTTATGTCTCCTGCACAAAGTTCAGCTTTTGCTTTTGTCCTTGGGATCCCTGTCAGCTTGACCCCTTTCCTGCCCTCCATGCTCTGATGGGTGTTAGTGGAGCACGGAGGCCTTCTCCATTGCTTTGCTTTCAGAGATTGGTCTGGGGCAGCCTGGTTACCCTGCCAGATTGCAGCCTTCTACTGTTTTGGTCCAGCCCACTTTGTTTTCCCCAAGGCATTGATGGCTCTGGTTTGGGAGAAGATCCTGATGCAGAGAAGTACCTACCCATGCACTTGAGTCCTGTTGACTTCTGAGTGCGTGTCGATATGTGGCAGACGAGGTTCTTTGGGTAAATGTGATATCTTTTATTAGATCAACTCGATAGTTGGAAAAATTATTCTTTGCCACCAACACACCTGTCAATATGTCGTGCACTTCAATGCTTGCCTGAATTGGGGCCCAAGATAGGAAATGTTGCTTTGTTGCCAAACTGAGGCCTGGCACCTAAGAGCTTTGGCTCATCTCCTGGTTTCATGTGTGACATGGTTTTTCTTTACGGCATTTCTAACACTTCCTTTCTCTCGGGGTGCGAGGAGGCCTGTCTCCAAAGCCCTGTAGGGTTGTTGGAATAAAGGTGCTATATGGAGGCAAAGTATCGCTAGTGGCAACAGCTGTCAAACGTGGCTATTCTCCTTCAGTGCCAAGGAGGGTCTGACTTTGGACAATGGATGCTTGCAACTTCCTGAAAATCTTGCCCCTGCAAAACACTGCAGGTTGAGCACACAAAATCTTGGTTGCTCTTTATGTGTCTTCTGCTTGGCTGGGACTCCAGTGCTATCTGGCCCTGTGGGTTCATCTTGTGGTACTGTGTGCTGTGCTACCCTGTTGTCTTGCCTTGGTCTTGTTGCTCTCTCGGTGGAGGGCTGCTGAAATTAATAAAAATTCCCACCCTGCTTTAATGAGAGCCCTCTTTAATTGATGGCATGTGCCAATGGCTGATAGCAGGATTTGCTTCTATTAGCCTGCAATAAGAATTTTAGGGAACAGTCTTGTTGGGAAGGTGACTTGAGCTCTGATTTCAGTTTGCTTTTCCAGAGATGTCACTTCCAAAATTCAGCCCCTGGCAGTGAGAATAGGGCTCATCGCATCCCCAAACCTGCTACACTTCAGACCTGGATTTCCATTTAGGAAGGTTTCACAAGGGGGCACTTACATGAACTGGAATTAATTTAGAGCCTAATACTTCAAAAGCCAATAGTGCGAGTTGAGCTCTTTAGTACACAAACCTAACTAGAATTTCCCTGTATTACCAGTGGCAAAGTAGGTAGGTATGTACATGTGCACACATACCATGCAGGACCTGACGGAGACCAGCTGTGTGGTGCTGCTCTAAGGAATTGCGCTTAGTGGTAGAAGCGGTGCTTTACCTCTGTATGGGGTATTTGCTCCAGCTTGTTCCTACACCTGGCTGGGATCAGAGCCCCAGCCCCTGGGTTACCAGCAGTCAGTCGCCAGGGGTATGAGGAGCGAGGCTGTGCTTGGCCTCTGAATGGAGGCACAAGGAGGGCAGAGTTGCACATGTACAGAGCCATGGTGCTGCATCTTTTGCATTGCTGGAGCTGCCTGGTTGCTCATCTCCGTGCAAACAGCAGATGGCAGCAGAGCTCTACCCTGGACTCTACCCATACTGCAGACACAAAACACCTTCAAGGTGGGAAGAAATGGTTGGGTGTGTACACAGGTGACCCATTACTTCAGATTTAGACTGTAAAATGAAGGCTGTGGCAAGCTAGTAAAAATCCGGCTTGGACTCTGCGTCATCCAGACAGCTACGCTTGCAAATGATTGAACGTTTCCTAAATGCGGCCCCTGCCTGCATCACCCCATCCTGTACAGGAATAGCTCCACCAGATACTTGTCCCTTAATCCCAAAGACCTTGTACAGGAGCTAGACATCGTAGTCCTTACTCTGGCAGAATGCCAGCAAAGTGAGTGTGTCTAGAGGTGGCTCCCTTTGCCTTGTTTTAACAGCATCTCCTGTCCCCCGGGCCTTAGTGGGACTTCACTGGAGCAAAAGCCTCACGCTGGTTCTTTGCACAAAAGTGTGAGCCCACATGCTGGTTGAAGGAGGAATCCTGCCCTTTGGCTTTGGCTTTTGTGGGCTCTCATTTCATTCCCCCGCATTTGCCGTCTGTGCCGCCTTCCAACAAGAGCTTGCGCACTCCTGAAAATGGTGATGGAAGAAGTTCAAAGAGCATCGCAGGAAGTGATGCACAAGTGATTCTCCTGGCTCTTGCCTCTGAGCCACGGGCAGGGTTTGTCGCTGGTGGTCACGTCATGTACAACAAACCTTGTGTATGTTAGCAATAACAAGGTATTGCCAACGCAACCAGTTGGCACCTGGTCTTCTGAACCCCAGCGCTCTTTCTGCGCCAAGGGCAGGGGCTGGACTCGATGATCCACTGAGGTTCCTTCCACCCCTAAAGCTCTATGAAGTGTTAGCAACCGAGAAGCCAAGGTGAAGAATTGCATCATGAGATGGTGGGGGGCCACTGTAGCCCCGACCTTGTGGGAGTGACCGTGCCCCCTGTCCTAACATGAAATGACCGGAGGTCTCTAGTGCTGCTAAGAGCAAGAAGTGGGGGACAGTGAGGCCTCCCTATTGGTACATGGGGATATAGCAGTGGCCCTGTTGACAGGGAGACCCAGTGCATACACCCTGGTTATTGGGGTATCGGTAGTGGTGGGCCAGGACTGCAATCTGCATACCTGCCATGTGCTTCTGCGGTGATGTTCATGCACTACTCAAAGCAGTGGTACTTGGGAGTAATGTGCTGCTGAGAGGCAGGTCACTGCTCTCAGCTATGATTTTGAATCTGATGGGGTAGGCATGGTTAGCAGTTGTATATCAGCCCCATTTCCATGCCTTTCCTGCCTTTCAGGATGACTTAGCTCTTTAGCTATTCCCTACCCCACCCCAACTCTCCTCGTTAAACCTCGATCTGATGTCATTTCATGACATGCCTGAGGCATAGTTTGACTGTACCGATTCCTTAATTCAGCTGTGTCATAGGGGAAGAGGAGGAGTAGGTTGCAGAAATGGGCCCTGAGAATGCTGCAGGGTGTCTTTTCTATTGTGCTTGGTGATTTTTTTTCTTCCCAAAAACTGTCTCTTTCCCATATAAGTCTTGTTGAGTATTCATTCAGGGTAGACTCTCCAGCCCATTAGGTCACAGCATGGTGTTGCCTGCTGCAAAACTAAAATTATTGACATGCCTCCATGCTTGCAGGATGGTCACTAGAGTGAAAGATTGTATTCAAGAAACGTTCCTGCGAGGTAAAGTGTCTAAAAGATACTCGACGTGAGCTCAAGTTATATGAACACCTGGGAGTGGTAGTAAGCAAAGACCGGAAGTAGTTATTACAAAATCCCTGCCTCCCAGCAATTCTCTACACTTCTGAAAGCTTAAGCCAAATAGGTTTCTTGGGGTTTTTGTTTCTCTCTCATCTCCACCCATTTCAAATAGATTC